AAAACTCCATCTAATGACCGGTTTTTCGACCCGAACCCGGTCTTAACTGAGTTTTTTACCCAACACCACTTGATCATCGTGGCGCAGTGAGGGAGCGCGCTCGTCTACAACCCACACGACGCGAGTTCGACTTCCGGCTGCGGCATGACTTTCTCGTTTTTCGTAAAAAAAGGTTAAAGCTTTAAAAACCAAAATCTCAAATGCAAAACTACACATAATTCCTAAGTCTAATAAACTAAAAATCATATAAATCGGCTCAAAAAAGAAGCCGGAGAAAAGATGTCGAAAATGCAACAAAGCGAGTCGTCGAAATCGAATTTTTCAGTCAGTTCCCACCCTGTCAGCCTTTCTTCCTGTGGCCATTTTGGGTATAAAAGCGCCGCAGGAGATTCGTCGCAAAATCGGTTCGTTTGAGAAAATCGGTCTGTTCGTTTTTGTTCAAAAAAAAAACAGTGCATTCCTAGTCGAGGAGTCGGGCGGTAATGGCTGAAAATCGTTGCCACTCGTACTGATTCCAGGAATGCCGTACAATTAAGACTACAACTCGAATCATTTCCAATCTAAAAGACATTTGAACTCTTCAATCACTACGGTAGTCGTATCAATTTCTAATTTCTCATATTCTTAAATCCCTTTCGCAGGCCGTTTGATCAAGTGGAAGCGTTGTCGAAAGAGCGCCGAGTCGTGAGATGTCAAATGAGGTAAATTTTTAAGCCAAAAAGCAACTTTAGAGTCCAAGCGTAACACTAAAATTTGCTAATTTCTAAAGAAATAAAGTATCAATGTTAAAATTTCAGAAACTCTTCCAAAATGGTGAAAGCCTCGATCGATCGTCGACACTCCGAAAAGATCGCGAGAGACGGCGAACATTGACGCTTACCGATATGAGATCGCTCGGCTTTTAGTACAAAACGAAACCACCCAAATCTACCGTAATCCTTCCTATTTTGCACTAATCAATAAGCTAGTTCATATAAGCTTTTCCCTAAAGAATATTGCACTTTTATTCTAAATCGACTCACAAGACAAATGGTCAATAAATTGATAAAATTGAACTAAAAAAAGTTTTGAATAAAAACAATAAATAGACATTAAAAGGTAAAGCTCACAAAAATTGACTAGAAGAAGAGATAGAAGAGATTTTTCTCGAGGTTCAAGCCTCGGCTTGAAATTGGACGTTCACCAAAAATTGAACCAAAAAAGTTTTGAATAAAACAATAAATAGACATTAAAAGGTAAAGCTCACAAAAATTGACTAGAAGAAGAGATAGAAGAGATTTTTCTCGAGATTCAAGCCTCGGCTTGAAATTGGACGTGCGTGAAGTTGGTCGAGATGGTCGACGAAAGTTGTGGAGTGCCCGTGCAAAGAACACAACGACCCATCACGTTGAATGGAGAACCTGAAAGAAAAACTGAAAATTTGCAATTTAACTAGCCGCTTTCGTTTATTTATCGTTACGAACCTATCAATTTGCCGATCTTCCCAATATTGAAAACGAATGTTTTCTTTAAATTTAAAAAAGGGGGTTTAAACAGAGTGCTATTAATTTGCTGCTCGATTTTAACAGAATAGCCAAATAGTGGCTAGCAACCATAGACGATTGAACCAAAGTTGCAAATAAGCTAGCAAAAACGGCAACTTGTTTTCTAAAACCCTACCATCCGGACTGATGATAGTCCCTCCGGCTTCTCGAATGATCACCGCAGCTGCCGCCACATCCCACGCATGAATTCCGTACTCAATGTACCTGAAAACAAGTAATTAATTAGTAAGCAAGTCAGTCAAATTCTTAAAAACACCATCAATAACATCTTCTCACGATTTTATCAAATAAAACACACCCATCAACACTCCCTTGTGCAACCATCATCATGTTAATCGCCGCCGACCCAAACGAGCGATTTCTGAAAAGAAAAAGAATTAGCAAGGATAAAGTACTCTTTACTTTTACTTTACAGACATACAAACTTTATTCTAATTTTCATCATTTTCATCTAATTTTCATCATTTTCATCTAATTCTAAATTTTCATATACTAATTGCAAAATGTTTCGTTAAAATCACGTTTTATGATCAATACTCAACGAACGGACCCTTGTGCATTATGTTTGAGCATAAGTGTTTGGTAGCTTTGGATGAATGATGAGATCATCTCGGGACGGCGATCCGACCCTAGTTGAGTCACCACAACCGCTGCGGAGAGATCTGGAAGAGGAGGATTTCGAAAGAAAAAACAAAATTTTTCATGGCAGCAAGTTCAAAAATATATTCTATCACCCCTAAGTTACTCTTTAAAATCAAAAGGTCAAAGTAAAAAGGCCAATTATAGCACGAAGAGTCCGTTCGATGATTTGATTTGTGACACACAGAAGAGAACATACCCTATAGTTTTAAAATTTCTAAGCACTTGTAGCTTTTTCTTGGTTCCATACGTGTGTTGACGATACTCCATAAAAATCTGTTCATCTCGAACGCACAAACGCGGACAGACACTCAATAAATCACAGGCCGGCTCTCCCTTAAGCTCACCCTCGAAATCCGGCTTGAACCAGCTTTCGTTGATTCTCGAAATTGAGATCGGTCCATTTTGCACCGAATGATTCTCTCAAGTTGTGAATTCCCAATGAGATCGCGATCACCGCTTTTGAGAGCTCTGAGAGAGAAAATGTCCTTATAAATCTGTGCAAAAACGGGGAGGGGAAATCTTAAGGAAGATTTTGTGGTTCATGGAATCGTTTTCAATCAGACTTGAAACACAAAACTTAAAACATATGCAATAACGTATCCTATTGCATTCAATCCTCTTTATAAAGAAAACTCAGCCTTCGTTGCAAAAAAAAGTTCCTAACGTGTAGATAAAACCAAATTATACCTTGTGTCGACGAAGCGTGAATTGGAAAACCGTTCTTGAAGGCCCCAGTTCCAACCTAAATCGATTCGAAATTTTATTTGCCGAATGAAACCATTTCAAACCTGCGCTGTATAGAGTTCATTTGTGATTGGATTGTAAACGATTCCTCCTCGTAACTCCTTGTTTATCGAAAGTCCCACACAAATGGCAATCAACGGAATTCTAACAATAGTTCAGATGTAGGTTATTTCTAATGCTTTAGATACAGATTCTTTCTAATTCTTTCTAATGCTTTAGATTCTTACGTCAGCGTCAGCGATTTATTTGTACTAAAACACTAAAATTGAACAAACCTATGCACAAAATTTGTCGTTCCATCAATTGGATCGATTATCCACGTGGGCGCATCTGTCCACTCAATTTTTGCACCACCCGATACCGATTCTTCGCCAATAAATCTAAAAATCAAAATTTTTTTTTTATCGCAAAACATTTTGTAATATTTTTGCTAAATTTTCTTACTTATGATCAGGAAAAGCTGCATGTAGTCCATCAATCAGATAGCGTTCCACGGCTCGATCCGTTTCCGTCACAAGGTCAGTCTATAAACCAAGATATTCGAATTTACAAGACCACTAGTAGAATCAGTTACATCTATAGAATTTAATAAACTCACGTTTGACGATTTCGTCTCAACAGCAGAAGCCGGTTGCTCGAAAGCTTCACGAACAATCTAAAAAAAATCAACAATTAGTTTGGCTTCTGTATTAACGACTACACTAATCTAAATTTTAGGTTAAGTAAATCTTTCATTTGTTCAAAACGTTACTGATGAACTTCGGGAGCACTTTGACCCGACTTGGTCAGACCCTATTCTACGCTTGCTTTTTTCTAGCCTTGTTTTGCATTTTCTGGGGTAATCAAAGGCACTTAATCGATTGCCGCTATTTTTAGAGTATTTTGAAAAAGTTTTCACGTTGCATTTTGTCCCTCTCTTCATTTTTAAGCTTAGCAACACTGTCGAGACAAAACTCCAGATAGCTTAACAAAATCAACAATCAATAAAAATTGTTCAAAACTTTCTAAAAATCTTATTAATAGATTCATCATGTTTGATTATCCCAGCAAAAGTAAAATAACTTTGGTAAAACAGTCAAAAAATACAAGCTGACCAAGTCGGGTCAATGGGCCCCCTTCGAAGTTTATTAGTACCAAGTTTATCAGTATTAGTAGTTTATTGGTCTTTGCAAAAAGTTCGTTAGAACATTTGGTACTAATGCACCTATGGGGGAGCCGCTTTTTTTTTTGCTCGAAAACCACTTTATTAAAGGTTTTTGACTGCGCCGATTCCAAATTTTATCAAATTTTTATAGATTCTTAATTGAGCTCCTAGTTTTTAGAATAAGAAGAATAATAGAAGTTTTTCGAATTGTAGAAAATTAGCTTTTTAAACAAAAGACTTAAATCGGCTATCCAATCCACAAAATCATCGTCTGAAAACAAAAGCTTCTGGCTTAATTCGAGGAGGGTGATTTCCTTGCAATTGATTAATCGCCATCTCCGCGAGAAGAGAGAAGATTTTAAGTGTTTTTTTCGGAAGAATTTATACGATTTCTAGCAAAAGAGTGGGGGGGCTTTAGCAAGTTATAAAACGTTTAATCAGTTTCACCACTCCTAAGCTTACAAGTTTAAGCACATTATGCCTACATGAGAAGAGCCAGAATTCAATTAAAAACCTATCAAAAATTTTATCAAATTTGGAATCGGCGCAGTCAAAAAGGAGGTGGGACAAATGCGACCTTTTTTTTGCTGGAAAAGGCCTTAGGAAAGGTCGTAGAGCTTCAAAAATGCTTTCACAGAAGGGAATCGTATGCGTAGATTCCGAATTTCGACAAATCAGACCTCGCTGACACGTCAAATTTGGGCTAAAAGGCAAAAACTACGCAACTTAACGCTTTTCCGTAGTTTTTGCCTTTTAGCCCAAATTTGACGTGTCAGCGAGATCTGATTAGTCGAAATTCGGAATCTACGCATACGATTCCCTTATTTTCGAAGCTCTACGGCCTTGCCTAAGGCCTTTTCCAGCTAAAAAAGGTCGCATTTGTCCCACCCCCGTCAAAAACCTCTAATAAAGTGGTTTTCGAGTAAAAAAAAAGTGGCCATTAGTATCGAACATTTCTACAAACCGAAATTTAGAAAACAAAGAAACAAATCTTATTGTTTCAGCATAAAATTTCCCCAAAAAACCCTCACCCTTCCCGCCGATTTCACCAAGCCGAGCGCAGTGTTGAAGAATTTTTGCTCATCCGGATGCACGGCCGTGAAAACCATCTGAAATTAAGTGAAAAATCATGAAATTTGTCTAACAAAATCACATTGAGAATGAAATAAAAGGAAGATTTTTTCGCAGAAATAATATTTTATTCGTAGCAAAGTTGACAGAGTTGTCGAGACAAAAATGAACGCTAATTGAAGTTAATTTGTTAATTTTCTGATGAAAGCAGAAAAATGTCAAATTCGATGAAAAAAACACAGAGCACAAACTACCAAAAATCGTTTAGATTGGGGAGTGGGACAAATGCGACCTTTTTTTTTGCGCACCCGGACATTTGCGCACCTTGCCCATTAGCGCACCTTTTTCGCGTTTTAAAAAAGCTCTAAAAAGCTAATATTAACCAATTTCTATTCCAAAAGTTGTTTTTCTAGGTAATTTTAGGGCGTAGAATCGAAATTTTGACATATCAGAGCTTGTGGAAACAAACGGACGGAGTTATACAAAGAGAAAAATCGACAATTTTCTGTAATTTGATCTAGCCGTTTTGTCTTTCAAATTGGTTCCACACGCTCTGTTATGTCAAAATTTGAATTCGACACCCTCAAATTACCTAGAAAAACAACTTTTGGAATAGAAATTGGTTAATATTAGCTTTTAGAGCTTTTTTAAAACGCGAAAAAAGGTGCGCTAATGGGCAAGGTGCGGAAAAAAAGGTGCGCAAATGTCCAGGTGCGCAAAAAAAAGGTCGCATTTGTCCCACTCCCCAAACTACCAAAAATCGTTTAGATTGCTTTAAAATTGATAAAAATCATTGATAAAAGAGCTAGCATTTATTTTCTTCGAAAACTTCATTCCAATACTCTCAAATATTCAGGTTTAAACCAATTAAACCAATACCTTTCAAATTTTGCATAATAAAACTTTTATTTCAAACATTAGCATCAATAACAAATGCGAATCAATAACAAAATATGAAAAACAAGCATACCCGATAAAGTTCACCCGTTAAAACACAAAAAAAAAAAAATGCTGCCCGTTTTGCGCAAAATTTGAATTAAACCTATAAAATAACAAAACGAACTTAAAAAAGTATAAAAACGTAACCATAAAAACAATCGAAAACTCTAAGTCAATGTAGATTTTTATGTTTTTGTAAGTATTTTCATTACTTTCCTCCGAATCGTCGCCTCATCCGACTCATCAACGGTGGAGTGATGAAAAGTTGGCCACCTAAAAGAGTTACCATTAAATGTTTATCAATTCTATAGCTTAGAAGTGATAAATTTTTCCACTACATTTTCTTTTTCTACAAAACACCAACCAGCTACTTCTTTCCAGCCACAAATTCGACCACAGAGTCTCTTCTGTTGCTTGAAGAGCTCGATTCAGGACAGCCCAGGCTCTAAAAGTGGCTTAACAATGCTTGAATTGCCTCCAATTTTTACAAAGTTACCTCCAATTTTTTTGATTCTCCGCGTAATCCAAAAACGCAAACATTGTTTGCACGATTTCCAAATGTGACGCGGGATTGTTTCTAAGAACATAGAATTTCTAAGAACATAGAAACAACAAGTAATCAAACAGCTCGAAACTTACTGTATCGTGCCTTCCGCCCACAAAACCCACAGCTCATCGGCACAATGAACGTTCGGCTTCTGGTAGGGTAACATCTGAAATTTGAAACATCTGAAAGATTCACGAATTCACGGCTAAGTCACGAGTTTCACCATCTAATTGTCCAGTTTATGAAGTCAAATCTTATCTAACTTATTCAATAAACGTAATATTCTTAAAAAACAAACATCTTTAATCCTTTGCTCGACATCTTGCAAATTGAAGCTATTCAACGTGGTAATCGTCGTTGTGATAAGCGAGCTGTTCTCCATCAACTCGTCAAGTATATCCGATAAACTAAAAAAATGTTCAGTTTATGAAGTCTTATACAACTTATTCAATCAACGTCATATTCATAAAAACAAAAATCTTTAATCCTTTGTTCGACATCTTTTGCTTAGGAATGCTTGCTTAGGAATGCTTGCTTAGGAATATTACTTAGGAATGCTTGCTTAGGAATATTACTTAGGAATGCTTGCTTAGGAATATTACTTAGGAATGCTTGCTTAGGAATGCTTGCTTAGGAATGCTTGCTTAGCAATATTACTTCTAAGTGCTAACGATAGATTCAAGAAATTTACCTTGTCTCGTCGTCCAATTGCCCAGATTGAGCCATAACACGTAATGCCATTTCGGCAAGAAGTGAACCCTCATCTCCAATTCCAAATTCTGAAGCACAACCCTAAATAAATTTTTGAACAAAGTTACCTTTACTACTGCTAATTGCATATTCAATTGATTAAGCTAATTGCATATTCAATTGATTAAGCTAATTGCATATTCAATTCATTAAGCATCTTTCAGAAGCACTAACCAAAAGCTCATTCGCTAAATCCTTAACTCCATGTTGACTTGTCGGCCTCTCTGTGAAGTATTTGTGCATCAACTGGATTGCCAGCATATATTTTTGATTCTAAAATATTTTTTAAGAGAATCTACACCAAGTATTAGTTATCTAACTTTTCCTGACAACATTGACGATTGTCGATATTTCAGTAACAAGCCAACAAGTTCGAGTTCGCCCCATGCGAAGAGTGTCATCGTCACCATGTAAGCGAATTGAGCCAGCAGAGCGCTAAAGATGGGAAATGAAAAAAAGTTAACGATATCACTCACTATTAAACTAACTTATCATCCAGGCTCCATGCGCGATGAGTTTTGATTAACGTCATCGCTTGTTGGAGAACAAAATGACCTTTTGCCTTCGAAGAAACCTGAAAAAGGCAATAATTTGCAATAATTGTCAAATATATAATCAAATCAATTTATTCAAAATCTGGATTTTTTTATTGTTGAGTGACAAAACAACCAAGTTAAACACAAGAAATGATAGTTTTTATTCAAAAACAAGAAAAAAACCCTCACCTTTGAGACGATTGCTCTTTGCAGTATAGTATTGAGAAATATTGGCACCATGATTTTCTTCGTTTGCGTGTTCAATTTGCTAGGAGGAACGAAGTAGCGACGAGATTTCTGAATTAAACAATGATAGTGTGTTTCTTGAAGCATTAAGAACATTAAGAACATTAAGAACATTAAGAACAACTCTCTGCAAATTTCCAACCTGTTTATCCGAAGCGAAGAGCCACTTTTTCGTTAACTTAAATTCACATGACTTTCGGAGGCTTTCCTCGAGTGCTAAAAGATAATGAATAAGAAAATTAATAAGATAATGAATAAGATAATGAATAAGAAGATGAATAAGATAATGAATAAGAAAATGAATAAGATAATGAATAAGATAATGAATAAGAAAATGAATAAGATAATGAATAAGAAAATTAATAAGAAAATGAATAAGATAATGAATAAGTTAATGAATAAGATGATGATTTAAGAGAATGATTTAAGAAAATGATTTAAGGGAATGACTTTTAAGAGAATGCTTGATTGGTATAATTTCCTTTAATTCACTTACCACAGACTTTCCCCAACTGATCCCATTGATGATGTTGAATGAGGCGATGAGTTTTCGTTAAGAACTTCGTGAAATCGTAGATGTTGCGTTGAATAGGACTAAAAAGTTATTACAAACTGAGAATGCTTTGCTCAGAAAGAATTAGGCATTAGAATTAGGAAAGAATTTTCGATTAGGCTTTTTTTTAAGAACTAAAATCTTACATCGTTCCTCGATCGTATTTGAAAGAAGAGAGAAAATATTGTGCCTCCGCCAATTTATGTTCGAATTTCCCCAAATCATACAATCTAAACAAATTGTATATGGCGTAGCCGTTTACGAAATTCAGCCGCTAACGAATGAGGGTATTTCCGGGCATCCAATCAAAAAGTCACCGACATAAAAAGTGTTCATAATACATATATTTTATAATAAATTTTTGAAATTCGCTCATTTGGTTCAGTAGAAATTTTTTTGAGCCCCAAAGTTTAGGTTCAAAAATGCCCTAAAATAGCTATAAAAGATTTTCTACTCAGCCAAAAAACTTGCCTAATGGCTCATTTTGTAGCCAAATTGATGTAGATTCTTAAAGTAAAGCTACATTGAACATTTGTTTTTCAAAGCTAGGAGAAAGAGGGCGAAGAACGACTTCAGTTGAACTCGGTCGCTGTTTTCACATTTGAGAATTGTCCTGAATTTGTTCCTTGCCCTCTTTCTCCTACTTTCAACGAAAAATTGTTTTAGATGGCTTTACTTTAAGAATCTACATCAATTTGGCTACAAAATGAGCCATTAGGCAAGTTTTTTGGCTGAGTAGAAAATTTTTTATAGCTATTTTAGGGCATTTTTGAACCTAAACTTTGGGGGCTCAAAAAAAATTTTCTACTGAACCAAATGAGCTAATTTCAAAAATTTATTATAAAATATATGTATTATGAACACTTTTTATGTGGGTGACTTTTTGATTGGATGCCCGGAAATACCCTCATTCGTTAGCGGCTGAATTTCGTAAACGGCTACGACATATATAAAACCAACGTTGAATCACTTACAATTTTGGTAAATTGAGTGACACTTTCCCGTAAACATCTAAATAGTACGAGTTGATGCGACAACTAAAGAAAAACATTTTAGAACTCTTTTATTTAAAGAGTACCTCAATGATTGTTTATAGTCGAAGAAAGCGGGAATCCCATTAAGGCACATTGTTTCGCAACTCTCGATAGCGAATCTCTGAAAAATGTTAGACTTGCAAAATAAAGATCTGCTTAGATTCTTAAATCTGCTTACAACTTAAATTGCTTAGAAGCCTAGGAGCGCCAAATTGCAAAATCAAAAAGTAAGCGTAAAATTGCAGAAACTCACTCGATTATACTCATTTCTGAGACGGTGAGTTGCTTTTTCTACGTATTTCTGCATCAGTTTCAGCGTCGATTCGTCAGCTAAAGTAAAAAATGACAACACTTTAACAGGCTAAAGGATAAGAAGACTGGGCTCTTGCGTAGTTTCCGGGTAATTTGAACGAGTCGCGCACTTTGAAGGCCTATAACTTTCCCCAAAGATGATATTTTTGTTAACTTTTTATATCATTGTACAAAGAACATTTTAGGCTTTCAAATGATACTAAATAGAGGTTGATTGGAGAATCGAATCCAAGAAAATTCGAGTCAACTCTAGGCAATTGAGGCCTATCCGATCCGAGTGTCGTTTGGCCTGGTTTTTATGGGAATGAAAAATCCAATCAAGCTCTATTTAGTATCATTTGAAAGCCTAAAATCTCCTATATTCAATGATATAAAAGGTTAACAAAAATATTATCTCTGGGCAAAGTTATAGGTCTTCAAAGCGCGCGACTCGTCCAAAATCGTTCGGAAACTACGCAAGAGTCGAATTTGATGATTTTAATGAGAAAAGAGGCACTATAAAGAAAATTTTTACACAAAGTGGTTATTTTGAGAGAGAGATTAGAGAGATTAGAAAGATTAGAGAGATTAGAAAGATTAGAGAGATTAGAAAGATTAGAGAGATTAGAAAGATTAGAGAGATTAGAAAGATTAGAGAGATTAGAAAGATTAGAGAGATTAGAAAGATTAGAGAGATTAGAAAGATTATAATGATTAGAAAGATTATAATGATTAGAAAGATTATAATGATTAAAAAGATTATAATGATTAAAAAGATTGTAATGATTAGAAAGATTGTAATGATTAGAGGTGATGCGGTAACAGGTACCTCCAGGCTCACCAGTTCCCGTACAACTACCTAATCTAGTCGGTTTTATATCATTGTATAGAGGACATTTCAGGCTTTCAAATGATACCAAATAGAGCTTGATTGAATTTTTCATTGCTATGAAAACCAGACGAAACGACACCCGAGTCGGATAGGCCTCATTTGCCAGAGTTGACTCGGATTTTCTTGGATTCGATTCTCCAATCAACCTCTATTTAGTATCATTTGAAAGCCTGAAATGTCCTCTATTCAATGATATAAAAAGTTAACAAAAATATCATCTTTGGGGAAAGTTATAGGCCTTCGAAGTGCGCGACTCGTTCAAAATACCCGGAAATTACGCAGGAGCCCAGTTTATCCATTTTCTTTTCAAAACTTACTTACCTATTAGATCTTCGAGCGGTATTTTCGTGGCAATATCGCAATCGTAAACGCTTCTGGAGCTCACGTCCGCATTTCCTTGCTCAGCTTCTTCCTCCTCATCGTTTCCCGCTGTTGACATCTAAAATAGTGCAATTTAACGTAAAAAATCCAATCCAATCCAATCCAAGTCAAACCAAAAGAAAACTTTAAAAATCTTGAATTAATAACAAGAAATGGACTATTTCAGTCAATAAAGAAGGACTTTTCACTGAAAGCATGAAAAATAAATCAGTATTTTGATCAAATCCACTTTTTAGCAGCTAAAGAAATGGAAAAGCAAAGAAATTCTCAAAATTTTATCCAGGAATAGCGTAAAAGCTGCTATTCTTTCTTGTTGTTGACTCAAATCCCGCAAATGAATGTGGAGAAAACACGGCAACTATGTGATACGAGTAACGTTTTTGCCTCAAAAAGGAGAAAAGGGGGAAGACGAAGGCTCATCAATGGAGAGAAAAGGCACACGCATCAATTCACCGCCAAAAAGGAAAGGAATCAAGGGGAATTCAGCGATGAAATGGGCTCTTTTCTTGGAGAATCACGCAAAAAAAAGGACACTAAAACCCTATGAAATGGCTAGTAGTGCGTTCTAAAATTGCTTAAGGTATAAAAGTTAAAAAAAACCAAAATTTAGACGTGTTACACCGATTTCCGCAAGTGTTTAATCGCTTAAACATTCTTAAACACCCTAAATGAAAGAAATTTCGAAAAATCCCTTTACAGTGGTCCACAAAAGTAATGCCCCATTTGCAAAGAATTAACAATATTTTTTAAAATCAATACTTGGTTGGTCCTCGGTTTGCTTTTATCACTTCATTGAGTCGATCCTGCATGGAATCCACGAGATTCTTCAAAAGACTTTGGTGGCCCAGAGACGTTGGCCCAGAGCCCAGAGACAGGATGGTGGCCCAGAGACGTTGAATGTGAACCCATAGGCGGCGTTTGAATCGATGTCTTTCCCTTGACTTGCGACTTCACAAATGACCAGAGATGCTCGATAACATTGATATCCGTTGACTAGGGAGGCGGATGGATCAATTTGACTCAACTTTCCGCAAACCAGCCCGGAAGTCGTGCTCGTGTACCATTCTGAAGAGTCACCACCGTTCCCATCATGAGCCTTGACTTATGTTTCGGTTCGTTGTCCTGGTAAAGCATCCATCCAGGAGGCATCGTCTGTGTGGCAAAAGGAAGCATTTTAGTCTTCATAATGTTCTTGTAGGCCACAACATCCATCGTTGAGTTGACATGAACTAACGAACCCACCGAAGTTCGTGACATAGCTCCCAAAGAAAAACAGTCAGATAACAAAATACTAAAAAGGCTCTCACCCCCAACACATTATATTTCCCCCGTTGAATTTCACCGTAGACTGAATGTACTTGAGTGTGTATCGCTTTCCAGTCGGTCGCCGAATGAGATGATTTCCGTCCGCGTGAAATAAATTGATTTTTGCCTCATCGGTAAATAACATAAATGACACTTTCGCCCAATCACGTGTTGCGCAACTTTGGTAGGTCCGTGCAAAGTCCTGCTTCCGGTGCTTAGAGTTCATCAGAGGTTTACGGGCAGCCCTTGCATATAATCCAGCTTGATTTAATCGTCGTCTGATCGTTTCCGGCGAAACAATGGGCAACAAGTCCAGGCCAGCCAAAGCCATGCTATATGCATATAATCCAGCTTGATTTAATCGCCGTCTGATCGTTACCGGCGAAACAATGGGCAACAAGTCCAGGCCAGCCAAAGCCATGCTATATGCATATAATCCAGCTTGATTTAATCGTCGTCTGATCGTTTCCGGCGAAACAATGGGCAACAAATCCAGGCCAGCCAAAGCCAGGCCATATGCATGGCTTTTGGCCTGGCTAGCCATGGCTTCTGGCTTTTTGGAACAGCCCTGATCATTGTACATTCAATTGATTACAAAAGCTTTTTGAAAGTAATGAAAGTGACTTGAGAGAAATTATGGATCCCTATTCGCAACTGGTAAAGTTCATGGTTCATGCCACAGAAAGGCAATGCTTCCCTAAAGTGCACTTTTCGAAAGCCAATTATTTATGTCTGCGCGAAAAACCAACCATTAGTTTATGGTTAAACTTTTTGAAAATGAATCACAAACTTAAAGTGCGCTTCAGAGAAACGAGACTCGTATGGAAGTTGTCTGAGAACTCGCAACAACTGAGGCTTTACATGATCGTTGATATTGTTTCACGTCGTAGAAAGGTACCAGGTCTATTCAGCTTTGAATTCTACGAAAATTGCAAAAGTTATTGGATTAAGAGCTTGTCACAAGTTATAGCTCTATAGTGTACCTAAGTGTACGCTGTTCTACTAGTTCTAAAGTATGGTTCTAAAGTCCCAGCAATACTTTCTAAGTTTTCTAATATCAAGCTTGACATCGTCGGCATCAACCCTTTCTCATTTCCTGATACGATTTTTCTTACAAACCGGAAATGATCTCGTCGACTTTCATTTCCTCAACCCCTCTCACTCGAGAAATTCCGTAAAAGTTTTTGGTCAAGAAGCAAGAAGCAATCGAAAATTCTTCTAAAACTGACGGGCACGCGACAATTTTCTCGTAGAGCTTTTTTGTGGACTGATAAGACTGAATGGGAGGCTTGTGTACACACAAAACGCTGCCCATTTCTCACAAAACGCTAAATAAGCTTAATTCTCATCACTCAAACGGCTAGCCAACGAAAACGCGTGATATGAATCGAGAAAATTTTAGCTCTTGAAATATGGCATCATCTTTGGAATTTGAGATTTGGAATTTAGCTATTTGTAAGCTAATATGGGAGATGGGAATTTTAGAGTCGGAAGAGACGAAAGAGGCTAATTGATTTAGTCATGTGAGGGTTATTGAAACTAAATTTGACTCTTGTATGTGTCTTGTGTTCTTGAGTTGACGTTTTGTGTTGTGATCAAGGTTTTGTGTTGATGTTTGAGTTGATGTTTTGGGTTGTGATCATTGAAAGTGTTTTTTGGTCTTAGCTGCTGAGTCAACTTTAGAATAATATAATGTTTATGTTTATATTATGTTTATAATGTTTTTAATATTTTGTTAATATTTTGTTTGTTTATATTTTGTTTGTTTATATTTTGTCTGTTTATATCTTGTTTGTTTATATGGGGGTGGGACAAATGCGACCTTTTTTTTGCGCACCTTTTTTTTGCTGGAAAAGGCCTTAGGAAAAGTCGTAGAGCTTCAAAAATGTTTCCATAGAAGGGAATCGTATGGTCGCAGAATTTTGACAAATCAACCCCGCTGACACGTCAAATTTGGGCTAAAAAGGCAAAAACTGCGGAAAAGCGTTAAGCTGCGTAGTTTTTGCCTTTTAGCCCAAATTTGACGTGTCAGCGAGGTCTGATTTGTCAAAATTCTGAATCTACGCATACGATTCCCTTCTATGGAAACATTTTTGAAGCTCTACGACTTTTCCTAAGGCCTTTTCCAGCAAAAAAAAGGTGCGCAAATGTCCAGGTGCGCAAAAAAAGGTCGCATTTGTCCCACCCCCATATTTGTTTGTTTATAGTTTGTTTGTTTTATTTGTTTTCTTTATAATATTTTATATTTTGCTTGTTTTATTTTGTTTGTTTATATTTCGTTTGTTTATATTTTGCTTGTTTATATTTGTTTGTTTATATTTTATTTTATATTTCGTTTGTTTATATTTTATTTTATTTATAATATTTTATATTCTCTATATCAATATAAATCAAAACCAAATAACGCAAAAGAAAAAAAAAATAATCAGCGCTGAGCAGTTTCCAAATCGATGCACTAGGTTAGACTTGAACATTATGCAAATTTTACAGACAAAGCAAAGAAGTTCTATAAATATTAAAAAATAAAAAGAAAAGCTAATAAAAAAGTAGAAAAAGTAAAAAGTAACCATTATAAAGTAACCATTATAAAGTAACCATTATAAAGTAACCATTATAAAGTAACCATTATAAAGTAACCATTATAAAGTAAACATTATAAAGTAAACATTATAAAGTAAACATTATAAAGTAAACATTATAAAGTAAACATTATAAAGTAAACATTATAAAATAAACATTATAAAATAAACATTATAAAGTAAACATTATAAAATAAACATTATAAAGTAAACATTATAAAGTAAACATTATAAAATAAACATTATAAAATAAACATTATAAAGTAAACATTATAAAGTAAACATTATAAAGTAAACATTATAAAGTAAACATTATAAAGTAAACATTATAAAGTAAACATTATAAAGTAAACATTATAAAATAAACATTATAAAGTAAACATTATAAAATAAACATTATAAAGTAAACATTATAAAATAAACATTATAAAGTAAACATTATAAAGTAAACATTATAAAATAAACATTATAAAGTAAACATTATAAAGTAAACATTATAAAGTAAACATTATAAAGTAAACATTATAAAGTAAACATTATAAAGTAAACATTATAAAGTAAACATTATAAAGTAAACATTATAAAGTAAACATTATAAAGTAAACATTATAAAGTAAACATTATAAAGTAAACATTATAAAATAAACATTATAAAGTAAACATTATAAAGTAAACATTATAAAGTAAACATTATAAAGTAAAAAAAGCCAAAAGTAAAAGCTAAAAGCAAAAGCAAAAAGCTAAAAGCAAAATTCATAAGAATTCCACTAAAATCAATCTTCAATTCAGCTAGAAACGAATCATAGCAAATCGAAAATCAAACAAAAAATAGAATTCTCAAATTCTCAGAACAAATTCTCATAAGCCTTTTTGAAAGATATGCATGTTTTGAGATCCACCACAAAACAATGTGAGACGACTTTGGCAGTCGGGGATACACACACACACACACACACACACGAAAGAAAGCAATTCAAGAAAAAGTAATTCAAAAAACAAAAACAAACACTTTATAAAAATAATGTTTGATAGAAATAATAGAAATTTGATATATCAACCAAGAAAAAAAAATCATTGTGTACAACAAAATTCGGACAAAAAACTGCGAGTTTCACTCAACAATGAACCCTCTAAGCAACTTGATTTAAACTTATCGTAAACACTGTAATAGTTCCCCCGCCCCCATAATGACAGTGCGGAGCGTTGCGACGCAAAACAAACCACCTCCATAATGACAGAGCGGAGCGTTGCGACGCAAAACAAACTTGGTTCCTTATCTCTCTAAATTCGGTTCCCTATCTCTCTAAATTTGGTTCCTTATCTCTCTAAATTTAATTCCTTATCTCTCTAAATTTGCTCGCTCTTATCGAGCGAGCTTTGAACGCGTTTTTCTCGACACTCGTTTATGCTACAATGCGCGCTTTGGTATCAAAAAATAGCTGAAATTCAGGGCTATTTTTTGATACCAAAGCGCGCATTGTAGCATAAACGAGTGTCGAGAAAAACGCGTTCAAAGTTAGACTACGCAACACTCCGCACCGTCATTATCTTTGGTATCAAAAAATAGCCGAAATTCAGGGCTATTTTTTGATACCAAAGACGCATTTTTTGAAAGTACGGGCGCTTTGCAAAAAAAGAAATACTAAAAAACTTTTGCGACTACGCGACTGTACGAGGGAGGTGGGGGGTACCATTACAGTATTTACGGTAGGTATTTAAACGAACGACGCGACGCGAACGAGTATTCTTCTACGGGTCTTCAAGTTGTTTAAAAGGTTAAAAAGCATAGACAGGAAATTGCAAAAATAAAAAGAAAATAGAATTAACTAAGCATTTGCTTGTAAATAAAACATCTATGCAACTAGGGCTTTATGGAAATTTTCCCTTATAGAAATCCGGGGGGAATTCTATAAGGGGAATTCTATAAGGGACAAATGTGACAAATGGAAATCTTTGAACTCCCAAAGGCACTGGAGATTAGAGTTTATTCCTTGCGAGTAAGTCAAATTTGAACGAGTATATAAGCCTGGCTCGTATATAAGCCTGGCCGTATATAAGCCTGGCTCGTATATAAGCCTGGCTCGTATATAAGCCTGGCCGTATATAAGGCGGCGATTTTTACACCAATTTACCGCAATAATTCTCGCTAAAAGTACGGTAATTCTTTCCAAGTTTAAAAAAAACCCATTACTCGCAAGGAACACACTCTACTGGAGATCATTGATTGATATGTCGAGAGAGCGGGAATCTGGTTGAACAGTGAAGCTGAAAACCGTCCGAGGAAGCGTCCGAGGATGCCCGAGGAACCGGAGCTCTTCAGTGATTCGAGTGACACCTAAAGAATGAAATTAGTCAATAGAAAGCCTGATAACTAAAAAGTTGTGAGTAATATTTGTGATTAACATTTGTCACTAACATTTGTGATTAACATTTGTGACTAACATTTGTGACTAACAAGGGAAGATCAACCGAGTGTGGTGACCAAATGACATGAGCCAAATGACATGAGCCAAATGACATGAGCCAAGTGACATGAACCAAATTACATGAACCAAATGACATGAGCCAAATGACATGAGCCGAATGACATGAACCAAATGACATGAGCCGAATGACATGAGCCAAATGACATGAGCCAAATGACATGAACCAAATGACATGAGCCAAATGACATGAGCCGAATGACATGAGCCAAATGACATGAGCCAAATTACATGAACCAAATGACATGAGCCGAATGACATGAACCAAATGACATGAGCCAAATGACAAAAGACAAAACTCACTTTACAAGTAGTGATCCTCGAAATATTTGCGTAGCTTGCCAAGCCGATTCGTCTTGAGAAAATCTTTTGAGTCGCCAGCGGTGTGATGATGTTTTTTATGGTGGTGATGGCCATATCTAAACAAAAGCTTTAGAGATCTTGTTATCAAGGAAATTGAGCTGCCGAGCTTGAGTCTAAGCCTGAGCCTAAGCCTGAAACATACTCCCATTGGGTTCCAAAGCACACCGCCAAACGGGTGTCCCTTAGCTCCGAGAACCGGCTGAGATCCAGAAAATCGCGGTTCAGCCCAAACCCAAAGAGACTTAGTGCCAGGCGCTAGCCGCTAGCCTTTGCACTAAGTCCAAGCCTGAGTCTAAGCCTGAGTCTAAGCCTGAGCCTGAGCCTAAGCCTAAGCCTAAGCCTAATCCTTACTTGTGTCTGGGCACCTCTCGATCGATGGCCACTCCGGGATGTTCAGTGCTTTCCACCATTTCGCTCAAGTAGTCGTAATCTAAAACGAGAAATTGGGAATGATTTGGTGAATCTGGACTTGTTTGGACTTGTCAACCTGGACTTGCAAACAAAACTTTAAAAGTACTTTAAAAGTCAAAGTTAAAAAGTAACTTTGAAAATTCTACTCGACATTTGTTTAGCATTTTCTTCTATCCCGATCTCTTGAAAGTTCTCAATCTCATAGCTATCTCATAGTTATCTCATAGCTATCTCATAGCTATCTCATAGCTATCTCGTAGTTATCTCATAGCTATCTCATAGCTATCTCATAGCTATCTCGTAGTTAGACCAATTTTGACTCAACTAAGCTACTTGTATTGAGCTTTAACCACTCCACTTTACTTTAACCACTACGCTTTTACTTTAACTACTACAGCTTTACTTTAACTACTACAGCTTTACTTTAACTACTACACGTTTACTTTAATCACTACCCCTTAACTTTAACCACTACAGTTCCCAACTCATATTCATTTCATTCACAAACCTTTAGGCCGAGCTGAGACAAGAGCCGCTAAAGTGAGAAGAACGCAGAGAAAGGTGATCAATGTGCGCATTGTTGATTGAAGAGTTTTGAAGAGTTTTTGATTTCTGAAATTTCTTCAGATAAAGATTGAACAAAATAGCTAAATTAGCTAAATAAAGATTTAGCTACTTTATTGAAAACAATAATTTGTAAAAGTCAAATTTCAAAGCATTAAGATCAAAAAAGAAAAGAGGGAGATTTAAAAACGAAAAACATAGAACAGATCACCAAAACTTGAACTATAAGAGAAGTGAAAGAGAGAAGAAGTGAAAGAAAGAAGAAGTGAATTTCTTTCCTCAAGAGAGGCACAAGGTCATTGAGCTAGATATAGATAGATATAGTTAGAAAGCTTGTGAGTGAGTTCTGGGGGCAGTACTGATGACGGACAAGTACTGATGACGACAGCTACGTAGGCTTACTATAGCTACATTGACGGGTTAGGCTTACTATAGCTATGTTGACGGGTTAGGCTTACCATAGCTACGTTGAAGGCTTAGGCTTACTATAGCTACGTTGACGGCTTAGGCTCAGGCTCAGGCTTAGGCTTAGGCTTACTATAGCTACGTTGAAGGCTTAGGCTTATTGTAGCTACGTTGATGGCTTAGGCTTACTATAGCTACGTTGACGGCTTAGGCTCAGGCTCAGGCTTAGGCTTAGGCTTACTATAGCTACATTGACGGGTTAGGCTTACTGTAGCTACGTTGAAGGCTTAGGCTCAGGCTCAGGCTTAGGCTTAGGCTTACTATAGCTACATTGACGGGTTAGGCTTACTGTAGCTACGTTGAAGGCTTAGGCTCAGGCTCAGGCTTAGGCTTAGGCTTACTATAGCTACATTGACGGGTTAGGCTTACTGTAGCTACGTTGAAGGCTTAGGCTCAGGCTCAGGCTTAGGCTTACTGTAGCTACGTTGAAGGCTTAGGCTCAGGCTCAGGCTTAGGCTTAGGCTTACTATAGCTACATTGACGGCTTAGGCTTACTATAGCTACGTTGACAGCTTAGGCTTGCTGTAGCTACAAATTTCTATGTCCAATGACCAAAACTAGAACTAATCGGTATTTCTGGATTGCTGAAAGGGTTCAGGAAATGATATTGTCGACAATCTTACTGACGACAATCAAATATTGTCGAAAATCTTAAAAATAAAACATAGACATAGACTTTTTCTAAGAAAAAAAAAAGAAAAAAAAAGACATTTTCTCGAAGTTCTCTGAACTCAGAGGAATGTTGACTAAAGCGCGCGAAAAGGAAACGAAAAATTTGAGAAAAGAGGCGGGGAAAAGAAAGGGGAGTGGTTTGGGGAAAGATGGTTTTGGGGGAAAGATCTGGCCGAGTGCCACTCAACCTGGTACCGCTCGGCAGGGGCGGAGCCAGCTCTAGTCTTCTCAGAGAAAAGTCAGAGATAGGATTTTCTTGAGTCGGCCTTGAACAGTCTCTGTGTTCCAAGCACAACAAATGGCACGAAGGTGAAAGTCGAGGGGAAGAGGAGGAGCAATGGAGCAATGGAGCTTCTAGCAATGGAGCAATGGAGCTCCTAGCAATGGAGCTCTTAGCAATGGAGCTCTTAGCATGGAGAAGAACAGAACAGAACAAACAGAACAACTGAAGAGTCCAATAGAAGTACTGTAAGTTCTGGAAATCTTGGAAAGAACTGGACGCTTACAGTACCCAGGGCGGGGATTGAGCTTATGAGGCCAGTTACAGTCTACTGTAGGCTACTGTGGCTTCAAGGACTTCAAGGACTTCAAGGAAAGACCAAAAACCGAAAAAATGCTGCGACTATGGGCAGAATTTGATGCTGATTCCGAATATGTATTCCGTTTTTGCTAAATGACAATCTGTGAGGAGTTATAAGTGTCTAAAGTTTGTTAGGAATCTGAAAATGTGATCGTTTGGGTCTTAGGAACGGCATTTGGGCGGCCTTCTGGCGGACGGGTCTGGTGCAGCTGTGGCCGAGTGGTAGCGCGCTCGTTTCTGAGATCGCACAGAGCGAGACCTCATAAGTTCGATCCCCGCCCTGGGTACTGTAAGGGTGTAAGGGCTCTGTAAGTACAAGGAGTACTGTAAGGGCTTCTGTAAGTACTAGGAGTACTGTAAGGGCTACTGTAAGTACAAGGAGTACTGTAAGGGTTACTGTAAGCACTAGGAGTACTGTAAGGGTTACTGTAAGTACAAGGTACTGTAAGGGCTTCTGTAAGTACTAGGAGTACTGTAAGGGCTACTGTAAGTACTAGGAGTACTGTAAGGGTTACTGTAAGCACTAGGAGTACTGTAAGGGCTACTGTAAGTACTAGGAGTACTGTAAGGGTTACTGTAAGTACAAGGAGTACTGTAAGGGTTACTGTAAGTACAAGGAGTACTGTAAGGGTTACTGTAAGTACAAGGAGTACTGTAAGGGTTACTGTAAGCACTAGGAGTACTGTAAGGGTTACTGTAAGTACAAGGTACTGTAAGGGCTACTGTAAGTACTAGGAGTACTGTAAGGGTTACTGTAAGTACAAGGTACTGTAAGGGTTACTGTAAGTACTAGGAGTACTGTAGGATTTCCACACACGCTACTTTAGCTTTGTAAACGCAAGCTATCTGGCCTACCTAGCTTACAATGGCTTACAGGAACCAGGAGGCGAATGTTTAGCTAAACACAAAGTATACAGATTGCTTGATTGCTTACAGTACTCCTTGTACTTACAGTAGCCCTTACAGTACTCCCTGTACTTACAGAGCCCTTACAGTACTCCTAGTACTTACAGTAGGCAAATACTCAACCCATAAAGCTCAGATCCGCTACGGGCAAGTCTACAACCTCAAAAAAACAGCTCAACAGCTCAGCTTGAAAGCTGAAAGCAAAAATAGCATTTCTAGAAGAAATCTCAGAAAAAAAGAAGTCTTTTCCTGGTCTTTCGTTGATTTTTCGTTGATTCTTGTCGCTTCCCGAGGGTTTCAAATCTCTCAAACAAATTTCCCAATCAAATTAGCGCGTACCTGTTGCACGCACAGTCGCCGCGTGCGTTTTTTTTGAACGTTTTGTTTCAAAAAAAAACCATGCAGAACTTGCAAATTGCAAAATTTCAACGGAAAACCAATGAGAATTTTCGAATTCTCATGGATTTTGATGAAAAAAGATTGTAATCATTGGAGATGATGCTATAAAAAGTGCCAGGTACTCCCTAAGTACTTTCAGGCTCACCGTTTCCCATCCAAATACCTAATCTAATCAGCTAATCAGCTAATCAGTTTTTTTTTTTGGAATAGACAATGACTTTTTGGATTTAGCGTAGTCTAGATGAGGAATCTATTTAAACAAGTTTACTAGAAAGCACAAAGCACTCCGCAAAACGTATCCATTAGATAGTGTGTGTTCCAGAATGCAACTTTGATTAGATGGATATAGAAGAATTCAACAGTATGCCCAAGATTCGGGGGTGTTCTCGAAATTGGGTAACTGAACCAAAAGAAAATGATGAAAAGTACTCAAAAAACCATTTGTTAAATAGTGTGCGCTCCAGAATGCAACTTTGCTTTAGGGAAATGGCAAGGTTCAACAGTATGCCCAAGATTCGCGGTTGTTCTCGAAATTGGGTAACTGAACCAAAAAAAAATGATGAAAAGTACCCCAAAAGCCGTTTATTAAATAGTGTGCGTTCCAGAATGCAACTTTGCTTCAGGGAAATGGCAAGGTTCAACAGGGTACACGCGTTTCATTCACTTCAAGGCTAAAAGACGACCCTGTGGTAGGCCTGGCTTGCTGGCTCGGTAGGCCTGGCTTGGCAAAGGCATACGGTAGGCCTGGCTGGGCAAAGGTATACGGTAGGCTTGCCAAAGACATACGGTAGGCCTGGCTGGGCAAAGGTATACGGTAGGCGTGCTAAAGGTATACGGTAGGCGTGCTAAAGGTATACGGTAGGCCTGGCTTGACCTGGTTCGGGCAAAATCGGTTTCCTGACGAAAACCTGGAGCTGAGGGAGGCTTTGACTTGACATTTGCCAGAGTTACAAGCCTTAGGCTTTAGTTAGTCTAGAATTCAAGCGTCAAAGCCAGTCAAAGCCAGCCAAAGCAAGTCAAAGCCAGCCAAAGTCAGTCAAAGCCAGTCAAAGCCAGCCAAAGCAAGCCAAAGCCAGCCAAAGTCAGTCAAAGCAAGCCAAAGCCAGCCAAAGCAAGTCAAAGCCAGCCAAAGTCAGTCAAAGCCAGTCAAAGCCAGCCAAAGCAAGCCAAAGCCAGCCAAAGCAAGTCAAAGCCAGCCAAAGTCAGTCAAAGCCAGTCAAAGCAAGCCAAAGCCAGCCAAAGCAAGCCAAAGCCAGCCAAAGATCAAAACAACTATTGTAACGTACTAGTAAAGAAGAAGTACAGTAGAATTTAGACTCAGACACTCGGTCTGAGTGTTGAAGAAAGTTGTGACAAAAAGGTGAACATTCAGAGCTGTCTATTTATCGGAATGGGACACCCCGCCCCCTTTGAATCAAGGCGGATTTTGGAAAAAGGCCAATGGAAAGGCGGGGCTTTTTGGATAGAGAAAATGGGAAAAAAAATGGGAAATTGAGCCAAAAAAAAGAAAAGAAAAAAAAGAAAAGAAAAAGCTAAAAGAAAAAGATATTTTCGCGACAAAAAAACTGATGTAAGAATGGGAATGGGAAAAGTCAGAGGAAGTGAATTTCGGAGAGAGATCTTCGGCTCGTTTTTTTGTGTGGCATTGAAAAGAATTGGGAACGGTTGATGGGAGAAAAAACGTGATCCGAGAGTTGGCGGGTTGTTCGTTTGCTCTGTTTTTGTGTTCGAGCAAATTGAGCAAAACACGATTGAGCAAAACACGTGCTGGTAAACAAGGAGAAAGAAAGAAGTGCTGGATTTGGACTGAAGTTTCTTCTGGGATCTGTTGTTGATCTTGGATCTGTGTGATCTTGATTTGAGCGCTGAATCTTGAATTTTGCCTTTCTAGACTGGCACTTGGGTTATTGGGTTTGAATTGGGATTGAATTGGGATTGACTTAGTTTGACTTGGGTTTGAATTGGGCTTGAATTGGGCTTGACTTGGTTTGA